CCCACGTCGAGTATCTCGTATGTTGGAAGGGTTACCGTGATGAGGAGGCTACCTGGGAGCCCCTCGAGCACTTGCAGCACGCTCGCATATTGGTGCGTGCCTATGACCGTGCTCGTCGTGCTGGGATCACTGCTCCTCCTCAGCCCATTAACCCTCCTCCCTCTCCCCCGGCTGAGGAGACCGCTGAAGTCGAGCATGCTCCATCTGAGGCAGACCTTCAGCAGCAGCCGGATGCTTTTGAGCGTCCACAGCGCACTCGTCGTCGTCCTGCTCAATACGACGATTGACTCTGACTTACCTTCCCACGTCTTTGACTTCTCAGTACTCCATCCACATCAGTTTTGTTACTTCAGCTCATCGACGTTGCGGCTCTTCCTCGACGACATTCCGTACTTCTCGTCATGGACGTCATCGACAGCTTCATGGACTTCATCACGATCAGCTCTGCCTACTTCAGACGTCGTCACTCTCTTACCACTTTACCGTATACAGTACCCTTGTTGTGTCGCATGATGGTCTCCCTTTAGCCGGTTCCTCTGAGTTGGGCTCTCCCTTGGTATACGCATAGGCATCGGGACCGTATTAGTGTTGCCCTGGCTTCCCATCTTACGGATCTAGCTCTGAGTTCCCTCACCTTAGGAGTCATTCGCATGATTCCCTTAATCATTACTTTTTCTACCCTCTGCCGGCCCTCACGCCCTAGTTAGGCAACCTTGCATGCTTCATCCAGGTGCGCCCAGTATACCAGACTCCCTTGTTCCCTTGCATGGTCGACCCTCCATAGCGGTCACCCCTTTAGTCGAGCATTACCCGCCCTGATGGTCTATCTGTTAGGGTCATTGGTTCTGTTCGCTCCCAATTCCCTACCCTCATTGAGCCTGATGACATGTGTTCCCCCTCTCACTATGTGTGGATGCCCTTAGGAGTCTTCGCCCCCTAGGCTGCATTCGCCACCCTCAGAGACCATCCCACCCTTTGGTTTGTGACACACTTCTCCTGTGACATATGGTTGACTTGTTGTTGCTTGTTGCTCTCAGACTGAGGCTACTGCCTCTGACATTTTTAGGATTTAGTTGTTCTGCTTTTGTTGTTCTTAGGACTTATACACTAGTCAGTTGTTTCCAGACTGAGGCTATTGCCTCCAACATTCTAGGATCTAGTTGTCATTACCTTCTGCTTTCCTAGGACATGTATGCTAGTTAGTTGCTTCTGCTTTCCTATGACATGTATGCTAGTTAGTTGCTTTTGCTGTCCTAGGACATGTATGCTAGTTAGTTGCTTTTGCTTTCACTTAGGCTGTTAGCTGTGACATTGCTGTTTTGTGACATTTTCCATTATAGGTTGCATCGCATGGAGCTTGCTCCGCATCCTAGACTACTCAGGTTTGCTTTTTCTTTGGTAGAGTTCCGCTTCTTGGCGGAAGCGTGTTTGTATCTAGGCGATCCATCATAGGCCGAGGATCGTGTAGCGGACCTCTAATTGGCCTGTGAGACCAGCCCCTTGGCCTATACTCACAGGCCTGTGTTCTATTCGGAGCAGTCCAGTCCTGGCTACAGAGGTACCGGCCAGTCCAGTCCAGTCCCGTCAGTCCGCTGGGGTATACCCCAGCCGTGTCTGTTTTCGAGATCATTCTACATTCTCACAGTTTTGGAGTACGTGCGTAGGAGTCTTGCGTGGGAGCTGCATTGTGCCATCTCGCTCCTCCCTCATCCTCCATCTCGGTCATCATCCCAAGCGGAGCACCACACCTGGTGGGTCCGCTACATGTGTGGCTAAAGGGGGGCAAATTGTCGAATGGAGGCTGTAGAATTTGTTCTGACAGCCGTCGAATTTTTTCGCCTTTCGATTGTGGTGCGGCGAGGCCCAAAGGCCCAAAGTCAATACCTTTCTCGGCCTTTTGGCTAAGATCAAGTGCATTGTATCTGTTCTGATCAGTTTAATATCTGATCCGTGGTCCATCGGCCCACATGAAAAAAAAAAGAAAAAAAAAAAAAAGAAAAAAAGAAAAAGAAGTCAGAGATGAGAACAGAGAAGAGAGGATTTGCAATTGCACTTCAGGCACCGTATGTGGCCAGAAAGCTGGGTTGTATACATTGCCCGAACTGCAATTCCAAACTGTATCTGAATGTATACAAGCCGACTTTCCGGTCCCCCGACCACAACGCACAGTGATTATGCATGTACACAAGGGAACTTTCCCGTCCCATACAACCAAAATTAGGCCGCCTTGTGTTCGGGGGCAAGTTCAAGATCCCACTTGCCCGGATTAATAGATTCTGGCCGTTGATCTTTGCTATCCTATCTACGGTCAATCTCGCTTAATTCGTTTAAGTGGGACCTAGCCCCGGGAGAAGACGGCAGTTGTCATGATTCTGGACGTTAATTCGGTGAGATACATCCAGGTCCATGCAGCGAGGTTCCCATTATCCGAATCCTTCGCTCCTCTGGCCGGTACGGAACGAGGTTCCCAGAATCGACTTGTAGGCTCCGTACGGAACACTGTGCATGCATCTGGATGGTTTTCTGGACCAGGTGCATGGGAACGAGCGCAACATTTTGAATGCACCCGCTCCAGAAGGAGTCCAAATGCATGTTGAAGTGTTCTGTAGTGGAGCGAGGCCTAGTTTCTGGGTACTACGTGGGACCTCCCCTAAGGCACATTTGCGGTCAGATACATTCAATTTGAAGATACTGCACCGTGGTGGTGAGTGTGACTTCTTTTCTTTTTTTTTTTTTTGAGGAATGAGTGTGACTTCTCTCTCTCGCTCTCTCTCTTTCTCTATGTCCCGTTTTTTATTATTATTTCTTTCCCTAAAAAAAAAAAAAAAAAGAAGGTGTGAGCTGTCATTTTAGAAAACGGCTATGGCTGCCAATCACCGTTGATGATATAGCGGCGCAGCCGGCGCTTGCCGCGCGTTTCCCTTGCGGTGGAGGGGCGGATTTCCGCACACTCCGCGGGCTTCCGCGAGCTGTCCCCGTTGACCTGCGCCCGCCCGATCGCTTTGCCCTTGCATTTTGTTTAATTTTTCTATTTTCTATTTTCTATTTTTATTTTTTTGGACCCTCCCCGGGGCCAGCTCCCACTAGCGGCAACGCCCGAATCTGGACCTGTTTGTGGAGACGTGCAGTTCAGGAAACTCAACACCATTTCTGTACATCTCCGCAAATGCGTCCACATTCATGAGTTGAGGTAGCTCAACGCTGCTAGTGGGACTTTGCCCCCGCCTGTTGTTGTCGAACCACCCGCTCTCCGTAAATTACGGGGGAAATAATTTTCCCGCGCACGGACAGAAGCCAGGCCCTTTCGTTGTTACTGTTTTAGGAAAATTATGACACAGAACTGAACAGGAAATAAAAGACATCAGATCCCAACGGCCGCCCATGCTCGGCCAATCACCAGCGTCTCTCAGAGAAAAAAAAAAAGAAGTAAAAAGGAAATCACCTCCGCGGAATATCCGCCGGCTGGTCTGCGGAGTCTCTCGTTCCCTTTTGTAATTTTTTGTTTTTATTTTCGCCTCCCACGAAATAAAGACAAGGAAAACACCCGTCCAAAAAACAACCAAAAAAAAAAAAAAAAAAAACACTCATCCAGGATGTTTCTTCATCCAGCAGGATCTGTGTCTGCGCAATCCCGACCGCTCATCTATAGGGATTGGGATGGGCCCTCCCACTTTCGAACGGCCGCAAACTGTCATTTCGTGCCCCGCCCACTTTCAAGTACCGTTCTGTGCGCCGGCATGTCCTGAACCAAGGGCTCCTTTCTTTTTCCCTTTTTTTTTTTTTTATAAGTGAAAATTCAGAAGACTTTTGCGTTCACACGACGCTGCTTCGCGCGTTATGTTTTTTTTTTTTTTTTTTTTTTTTTGATTCGTTGGTTAATTGAAGTTCAATCGGAACCGATTATGATTCGTTGTTCAGTCTGCATGGTGCGCCGGCGGCGGGAGCCATGCAGCCAGCTGTCATTCTTTTTCTGTGTTTTTTATGTGAGGGCACTGCTGCAGGCCTCATTTCATTATCTCCTTAGTTAATATATTAACTCTGACATTTTTTCATAATAACATTTCATTTTTAATTTGCACCTCCAGATTATAAGGAGATTTCATATGGCCGACCGTCGGGGCGCTCCCGTGTCCGTAGCCGCAGGAGGACAAAGCTAATCAGAATGAGGGCATATTCACACGACAAATGTTTTGACTGAATTAGGCGGGATATTAAGTGCGCATGCGTTCATTCGTGCAGTAATTGCACCCACGTACATCGAATGTGAACCAGAATTGCTGTCAGATGCAGCCATGACAGTCTTAGCCCGGGGCAAGATTCCGGCTGTTCATCTTTGCTATCCTATCTACGGTCACCATCGCTTAATTCATGTAAGTGGGACCTAGCCGCGTTGAGATACCACAACGCCTGAATCTGGACGCTTTTGCGGAGATGTGCAGAAATGGTGTTGAGTTTCCTGAACTGCACGTCTCCTCAAACACGTCCAGATTCAGGCGTTGAGGTAGCTCAACGCTGCTAGTGGGACCTAGGCCCCGGTGGTATGGGCTTCCTCCGACATATCGAGAAATGGTCCAAAACCTAACGGATTTTTTTTTTTTTTTGGACCACAACATCCTGTGGGGCTCTGCGATCCTGGGGTGGTGGGTGAGAGAACCACCAGGATCGAGGGTCGTAGTTGGATGTAGTTGGATGACCCCAATCTATTAGTGGGAAGGTGCTCCTGCTGGAAAGCGGCTCCAGCGTCACATATAACAGCAGATTGAAAGGGGACTGCAGTTAGGGGGCGCGACCTAGCGCACGCGCTCCGGCAGAACCCGAGCCGTCGTTCAGGAGGATACCACCATTGATATCGTTTTGGAGTCATCCCACCACACGCCTTCTTCGTAGGGCGGATATGGCGACTATCCAGTCATAGGTGTGGATGAATGGACGGAGGAAGCGTTGCCCCAACCTAGGTAGAGTAAGGGATCTATCAGTCTAAGGTGAAGGAACTGTGGACGGGAGAAGGAGAAATACCGTAAGAGGAGGAGTTAGGAGTTGCAAAGGTGGAAGGAGATGGAGCACACTCCGGGGCAAGAAGGAACTGGGAGATCTCCGCCTCCCGGGCCGGTAGAAGAAAGAGATTATTGGGAGGATGAAGATAGTAGGATCAGAAGTCTCTTGACGATGTGTTTTGACGATGGGGTCTACCCCACAGAGATAGATCCGGGGGAGATGGTGGTTCAAGGAAGGGAGCTGCGCTTCAAACTCAACACCTCTTTAGACGAGATTAAAGTCAAGTGGCTCAAGGAGCACACTGTGACGGTAATCTACAAGGAAGCGGCTAGATTCCTGGCTAAACACATCAAAGATGACTTGGTTCGCGCGTTTGAAGATGGCTGGATCATCGGCAACTCCAACTTGCAGGAGAACACTCGGAGGGGGAGATTGAAGATAGAGGGACCAGGTGTAGCATCCTACGTGGCAAAAGCAAGAGAGGTGGCGGAGTACATGAAGACAGAGGGGCAAGTGGAAGTAACCCTTGGAGCGGACACATATAGAATTCTATTTAAACCCTGGATGACCAGGACGGAGTTCAGAGAGTTAAGAAGGCAAGAGGAGGACAAGATGTTCTGGGTAATGGCCTTGCAAGTGCCTCTGTATGATATGCCATTCATCTACGCACAGATCGAAAGAGCAATTGAAAAGATAATCCTGGCGCATCCGACTGACGCAGACCCATCGAGACCGGCGCTGGTCAACGCGAGGTTTGACTTGGAGCTGGAAGCGAGACCCAATATGAAGGACGTCTTATGGGTTGATACTGCGAAAGGAGATGTGCTGGAGATCAAGCTGGCAAGCGCTGAATCACTGAAGTGTAGAAAGTGTAGACAGTTTTTTTCATACGGAACAAGACTGTAGACGCGGAGGAGGATCACGTTTCTGAGGACGTGGGACAGTGCAGTCGGGACCAAATCAGACTCAACAGCAAGCACCGACAGCTTCTTCTAATGGAGCCAATCAGGGGCAAGGCTATCAAGGTCCGCTGAGGCCAAGACCGGGCATCCCAGGACAAAATGGATAGGCGTCGCATCCAGGACAAGTGCGGATGAATCCGGCCTTCTCTCAGTAAGGTTTGGGAGGGGGACTTCAATTGAGAGGAGGGTTGCGGGGGGCCTCAGTGGGGGGCGGAGGAGCACACGTGGGCCTGGCGGGATTGTCAGGTATGGTAGGGGGGACACATGCTGAACAGCTCCCCGGAGGTCAAAATATCGGTGGCGGGTTGGGATACCTGGGTATACCGCAGCTGGTAGGGGGCCAGAATGGCCAAACGACGATGTGGCAAGGAGGCGCTGTAGCGGATTGGATGTTAGCCAACGGTGTACACCCGGCGGTCTGGCAAGGTATGCTTGGGGGACTGGGTATGATCCTGGCGCAAGGGCAGGGAGGAGCAGGAGTGCAACAAGGTTGGGGATGTCCCTCGGGGATACCGAATCCGCAAGGGGACCAACAGCAATCGATGGGTTCACGCCTGCCTCTGCGCCCTCAGCCGCTGTTCGGAGCAAGACCGGAGGATGAGGCCGGACGAAGTAGGCAGGAGGATCGAAGAGCGGAATCCTCACATGGAAGATCGAAGTCTCGCACACCTGGTAAGCAACGGCGACTCATCACAGCATCTCAATTAGAGCTTACGCCGGAGCCCTCGGGGGAATCAAGACTGTCGAGAAGTGGCTCGGAGAAGTCGATAGCTTAGGGGGGAGGTCTGGGGACTCCAGGCCAGAAAACAACGAGAGACCGATGCCTTGCCACGGTGAAAGGTCAAAACACGGAGCTGGCACAGTACATAGTGCCACTGGTTTGCACTACTATTCGGAACTTGCAATGGGTGATCACGTGGCAGAAAGGAGCAGATCCCTGGCTGATCTTTGACCATGCAGTTCCGGACATGCCGAACACAGTGGATATCGAAAGGTACTTGAAGACTCTGTACCTCGATGCCTTTCCGATGAGAGTCATCCCTAACGTTGTGATGCCAAGGATTTTGTTCGGCCCCGCTGGCAACAAGGTTAAATTATATGTACCTCTAATCGATGCAAGACTAACTGAGCAAAAACTCGCTGAGTTGGAGGCGTTAGGTTTGAGACTGGTGCCCTTGGTTGTGTTCGCCGGAGCAAGGAAGCAGGAGCTGGCACGACTAATGGTCTCACACTCATGATTACTGCGGACGCGCTGGCAGAGGTTAAGTTAAGGCTCCCTAAGGACAAGAAGTTAGACTCTAATTTTCTAAAGGCAGCTCTGGGGTGCAACTGGAATGGAGACGTAATGATGCAACCCCACATCCATCGGCAATAGGGGTCGTCAAGTGGGAATGGCCAACGTTAGAATAGCCACGTGGAATCTACAGGGCTTTGGGGACACGTCGGGCAGATGTAAAAGATCGAGAGTGAAGACTTGGATGCACGAAAACAAGGTGTCAGTGGCCAATCTGCAAGAAACCAAGTTAAATAACGACAAGATCGGCAATCTGGGGAGATGGTGGGATGGCCCACAAATCTGGGCGACGGCGAAAGGAACGAAGGGGGGCGTGGGAATATTAATCCACCGTAGCCTGGATGCGGTTATAGAGGACTACTATGCGGATCTGTGGGGTAGGTGGGCCAGGGTAGTTCTGTCTCAAGGAGAATGCAGATGGGCGGTAGTTTCGGTCTATGCACCGGTGGACAGGAAGGAGAGGTGCTCCTTTTTGGAGGAGCTGAGAGTTTCGCTTCCAAATGTGGAGGAAGTGGTGATTGGGGGGGATTGGAACTTGGTCCTGGACGCAACGTCGAACCAGCAGGTGAACGGTTGTCCTAGAGACGTTCTGGCTATGGTGGACTTTATGGCGGATCTTGATCTGCATGATGTCTACCGGGATCTGAACCCAGTGGAGGAAGGGTATACCTGGTTCTTGCATCAGGGTAAGGGGAGGAGGTTGGACTATCTGCTCGCGGGTGGGGGGATTAGAGGGAAGGTTATTAGTATTGAGGAGAGATTCAGTCCGATCTCGGATCACAAGCCGGTCATTGGCAGCTTCAAGTTCGGTCCGGACAACCCGAGGGGTAGAGGCTATTTCAAGTTAAATACAACTAACTTAAAGGACATGAACTTAACGGAATGGACACAAGACTATTGGAGGAGATGGGAGCGACAAAAGTAGAAGTTTGCCACGTTAGCGGACTGGTGGGAGGTAGGAACAAGGATCTTATCCAACCTGCTGGATGTCTTCTCCCGGATCTTGGCGCAGAACACGAATAAGGACGAAAGAAGATGTTGGAAAAGAGTCCAACAGGCAGAGGAGAGGATGAAGCAACACCCGATTTCAGAGTTAACGTGGGGAAGGGAGAGGACCAGAAGACTGACCGAGTCGGATGAGAAGCAACAAGAGAAGGCGGAATTATGGGCAGAACGGATCAAGGTAAAAGGGCTGGAAGTCTATGACAGGATGTCAAAAGACACTTTCCGGAAGCTGGTGCCGGCCAGGTCAGCCCCAACGATGAAGGAGCTAAAGCACCCCTTCGCTGCGGGAGAACCAAGGGCTACACAGCCAAAGGAGATTTGTAGATATGTGGTTTTGTATTTCCAGGACATTCTGACAACGCGAAGACCAGGTGAAGGAGTAGACACAGACCTTTCAATTGGAACCAATCACTGGGAGAACACATCGATCAGAATCTCTACACAAGGACGGTTGGATTTGGACCGACCTATCACGAAGGAGGAATCCGGAGTAGCACTGGGGGCGATGGCTAGAGGGAAACCCCCCGGAAACGATGGTTTTCCGGTGGAATTCTACAGAGAACACTGGGAAGTGTTAGGGGAGGACTTAACAGAGATCTATAACGAGAGCCAGATGGGGGGGAGACTGTAGGCCAGTGTTTGTAAAGGGATCATATCTATTCTGTTTAAGAAGGGAGACACTAATGAGATCCGGAATTGGAGACCAATTTCACTTCTCAATGTGTCATATAAGATTCTGGCCAAGGTTCTGGCCCTCAGACTGGCGAGATACTTGCCCCAGTTGGTAGAGGACGACCAGGCGGCTTTCGTGAGAGGAAGATCCATTTACGACAACATTGTAACGGCGGTAGAGATGTTGGAAGTTGTGAATAAGGAGGAACTGAACATGGCAGTTCTGCTTTTGGATATGGAGAAAGCGTATGACCGGGTAAATTGGTCATACGTTTTAACATCTCTCAGATGGATTGGTATGGGGGAACCGCTCTGCAATTGGGTAGTTGCACTGTACGCATATTCGTCAGCCTCAGTAATGGTGAATGGTCACATCTCTTCTCCCTTTCAACTTTTGCGCTCTTTACGACAGGTGTGTCCGTTGGCTCCGTTGCTATTCGTTTTACACTTAGAAGTTCCTCTGAATAACATAAGGAACCAAGCCCAGATAGTAGGCGTAGATCTGGGTCGTTGGGCCTGCAAAGTGAAGGCCTTGGCCAATGATCTTTTTGCGGTGTCTGCGAACACTCATGAGTCGATGTCGGCGCTCCGATACTGTCTCCGACAGTACGAGGAGTTATCAGAAGCGGCCATTAACTGGTCCAAATTTGTGTTCCTTCTCCCTAACAAGTACTCTCCAGTGGTGGACTGGGGGATGAGGAGGATTCACTCAGGAGACTCGGAGATATTCCTAGGGGTTCAGATAGCACTCACGTCTTGTGCGTTAAGACAAGAGGGGATTCTGCAAACTAAGGTGATGCAGAGAATGTCTACCTGGGGAAAAACACCACATCTGTCGTTGTTCGGTAGAGCGCTCGTTGTCAATGTGGCGTTGTTGACCTTACTTACATTCGTAGGGAATGTGAGGCCTATTGGTAAGAAGACGCAAACGGTGGTCAGAAGGAAGGCAGCCAAGTTTATATGGCGCCCCTTTGCAGAAGAGGGAGACACAGTGTTGTCCAAGGTTGCATGGGATTTAATATGTGTTCCCAGGCACGAAGGGGGCCTGAGTTTGATTGATCCCGGAAGGAGGAACTTGGCTATGCTAGCCAGGTGGGTAATTCGGGCGATCACAGAAGAAGGAGACAAACATTGGATATCTTTGGGGGAAAGGATTCTGGGCAAGGAGTGGCATCTGGCGCGTCCATCGGATGTATGGGCTTGCGTCTGGATGGACTCCTACCTCAGAAGGAGGGTAAAGTCAGAGTTATGGGGAGCTGTGATACAGGCGTGGCGTAAGGTTAAGCCAGACTTATGCTGCGAACCTCATACAAAACAGGAGGTCCTCTCTCAAATTCTGTTCGAGAATGATCGAATAAGGACTCAGAAGGGAGACACGCTGAAAGCGAATTCAGAGTCAGGCAGCTTTGGAAGAAGTTGGACAGAGCGTGGGGTAACAAGAGTCAGAGACCTGTGGAATGAGTTGACTGGAACATGGCACTCAGTGGGAGAAATAGAGAGGAGACTGGGCCTTGCTAAATACATCAGATTCAAAAGAGAACAAGTACTGGATGCCCTACCAGTGGAATGGCTACAGATCCTCTCTCCAGGTAGTCCGAACCCGACAGGAACTTGGTATGAACTCTGCACAGACTCAGGAGCGGACTCACGTTCCTTCCTTAAAGTAGTGGAGCAGTCGGAAGAGGGAGGCAGAAAGCTCCAACAATGGAGACCAGTGGGACAGAGGGGAGCTCTAGGGAGAGTCGAAGGTGAGGACGAATTCATCCAGGTACCAAGAGGAAGGTTGGTGGAAGTAAGGGTCAGAGAAAAAGTGAACGAGAAAGGGGATTGGGACGTGAAGGTCTGGAAGGATGGCAAACCAATAGAACAATTAAGGGCAAATCCAAACCAATGGGCTTGGAGGAGTAGGGCCCCTCATGGGGAGCACGTGCACCTTGATGATTTCTCTCTAGAGCTGGCGTACGAGGTTCAAGCCCGGGCAAGGACCCCGTTAATGACCGCAACAGACAGATGGAGCAGAGTGTTACCAACGGATACAGAGACGATAGCAGGAGCTATCCAAAGTTGTTGGAAGCAATTAACGGATCCCCCGAACCCAAGGGCAGCTGCTCTGCTCTGGTTGGCATCACTGCTAGCCACCCCGTCGGCAGTATGGTTAATGAGTAGAGGGATGGAAGTAGAAGCGCAGTGCAAAAGGTGCCTATGGGCGTTTGAATCAACCCCACACATCTGGTGGGACTATCCGACTTCAAGACGAATATGGGTTTGGTGGGCGGTACGATGGGAGGAATGGACAGGGGACTTCTTAAAATGGGACAAAGAATGGGTGCTACTGGGAGGCATACCGGAAAATGCTCAGAGTGATAGAGGTTGGGGGTACGTAGCACAGGCGGTAAGAGCGGTTGGCTACTAGATCATCTGGACAGAAAGGAATCGAACTCTGTTTGAAGGAAGGATTATGCCGGATCAAGAAATTAAGGTCACCTTCAAACAAATGATTCGCAGAATGATGGCAGCAGACTGGAAGAGAAAGGCCTCGGCGGGCAGGGGAAGTCAGGAAGGGAGATCGTGGTTTCAGGAGACATGGGGACGGGAAGGGAAGATGGTTACCGTAGATGTTACAGGGAAGTTAAAGTTTGCAGAATGGTTATTCAACTAATTTTTAGTGGGGGGGTAAACCAGGTGCACTCGGTTTAAATTATCCGCAGTAGGAGGCAAGAGGGAAAGTGGGGAGAGAGAGTGTCCAGGAAATTTAGTGGACCATTGGGTCCACCCTGCCGTATTAGGTAGGGGCTACAGGGGAGATACCCTGGTATTACGGGGGTAAGGTAGGGGCTAGGAGGAGGGATAGTGGGATTTAAGATAAGAATGAGCATAGAAG